CACAAAAGTGCAAGGCTTACCTTCAGAGCAAATGGTAAAATTTTTCTTAAAAGTTTGTTACTTTGTGTTTTTACCTTATATGGCTTATGATAATGTCTCATTGTTAATATAGGCACATTTTACTACTAACTAATTAATGTTAATCATTATTGTTTATTAAATAATCTTGCGTTACATGAAAAATAATCATCAATTCGATCAGACTACTAGCACTAATGATCTTACTTTTGACCTGACTTTCCTTTCTGACTGAATCGATTGGAAAATCTTCCTTCCCCGACAAAATAGTTTCACTATCCAGCCGATTGAGATTCTTTCAAGAGAGAGCAATATATAATAAGTCTTTAAACGAGGAAACAATATATACATGATACAAAAACTCACGTAAAGCTCTAAATCTAATTTCATTGTAATCTCATTTATGTAACAATTCTCCACCAAAATTCTAATTTATTCACATAAATTCTCAATATGAAAGATAATATACATTTGTAGGTTAATTATTTTAGTCGATAGATAATAGGGCATGGTAAAAATGTTTTAATCCACCCCAAGTGGAAACTTTATCTCTACTTGCAGAGAGATCAACTCTCTCCGCACAATGCGATGATCCTTTTTTATCGATAATTTTTTTCTTTTTTTTCTCTCTGCTTTCCCTACTTTTCTCATATGTATATTCCTCTCGATGCTTTTTAACCATGGATTCTTGACAAATGTATCTAAGTTTTTCATCTTTTACCTCAAACCTTAAAAGATTGTTTCTAATATGATTTCTATCTATTTGTCGCTTGTATAAAATACAGATCATAATGAACGTCTTTGCTATTTTCCTTATTTAATCTACTTTATTTAGTGAGCAATGATTTTCATTTGTTAGGATGACTTTAAAATGGGAAAGTCACTTGGAAAAAAATTAGCAATTTCATTACCACTCTTCTTTTTTCTTTTTCTTTTTTTTTTTTTAAATTTTTTTGGAAATACAATTATATAAAAAGTAAACAATATTGAATTGCAACATACTTAAGAAATTCAATATTAAATAAATTTTATATATTTATAACATATTATAAATCCGTATATACTGCCTACCGTATTCGCAGCTTACCGTATATACTGCCTACCGTATTTGCAGGCAACTTACCGTATTTGCAGTTGACTGTATTTGCTGTCTACTGTATTTTCATATACCGAGTTTAGTACTTATAAATATCGAAAATGCACAACACTGTACATTCACTTACCAAATCGAATGTAAAAAAGAAAAAAAAATTTCAGATTTTTATTTTTCCAACATAAGCAGAATATAAATATTAAAATATATGAAATACAAAATATAAACGCATATGATTATGCAAGTCGATTTATAACTTTGTACTCAATCTTCAATTTTTCAATATTGAATTATACAAAATTTAGAAATATAATCTTCACATTTAAACTAGAAAATAATGTATACAGGATACAAAAACTCTCGTCAAGCTCTAAATCTAATTTCATTGTAATCTCATATATGTAACAATTCTCCATCAAAATTCTAATTTATTTACATAAACTCTCAATGTGAAAGATAATATGCATTTGTAGGTTAATTATTTTAGTCGATAGATAGTAAGGCATGGTAAAAAGGTTGTCCCCAAAAAAAGTTTTAGTCCACCTAAAGTGGAAACATTATCTCTACTTGCGGAGAGATCAACTCTCTACGCACTGTATGAAGAGATGGTCCTTTTTTATCGGTAATTTTTTCTTCTTCTTTTCCTCTCCGCTTTCTCTACTTTTCTCAGATGTACATTTCTCTCGAAGATGGTTTTTTACCATGGATTCTTGGCAAAATATCTAAGTTAGTTTTTCATATTTTACCTCAAACCTTAAAAGATTGTTTCTAATATGATTTATATCTATTTTTCACTTGTATAAAATACAGATCATAATGAATGTATTTACTATTTTTCTCATTTAATCTATTTTATTTAGTCAGCTATGCTTTTCGTTTGTTAGGATGGCTTTAAAATGGGAAAGTCACAGGGAAAAAATTAGCAATTACATAACCATCCGTCTTTTTTTTTTTTTAATTCCCGAAAAAATAATTATATAAAAATAAGACAATATTGAATCAAAACATTTAGTTCTCAAGAATTAAGAAATTCAATATTATAAATTTTATACATTTATAACAAATTATAAATCCGTATATGCAGCTTTTCGTATTTATAGACAGCTTACCGTATATGCAGTTTACCGTATTTGCAACTTATCGTATATGCTGCCTTCCGTATTTGCAGGCAACTTACCATATTTGGACATTACCGCATTTGTAGCTTACCGTATATACTGCCTAACGTATTTGCAGCTTACCGTATTTTCATATGTCGATTTTGCACTTATAAATATCGAGAATGCAGAACACCGTACATTCACTTACCAAAACGAATGTCAAAAAAATTTTCAAATTTTTATTTTTTCAACATAAGCAGAAAATAAATATTAAAATTTATGAAACACAAAATATGAACGCATATGAATATGCAAGTCGATTTATAATTTTGTGCTCATTCTTCAATTTTTCAATATTGAATTACACTAAATTTAAAAATATAGTCTTCACACTCAACTCAATCATATCAACACTGTCAAAGCATACAAGGAAAATAGTTTGTATAACCTCGTATATTTCTTATTCAAGCATGAAATATACAAGCATATTTTTTCCAGATGACACAATACTGTTATACAATTATAAAAATAATTTGTAATTATTTTCTTATATCATGAAAATATTTCTAGATATTGCTTCAAAAACATTCCGAAAAACTAAAATTCATATATTAATAAAAATATGATAAATATAAAATTCGTGCAACGCACATGACAGTGACTAGTTAACATGTAAAAACCTCACATAACGGAGTTAATTAATTCCTTAGTCTACTCTAATTACAACATCCTACACCTTACTCTCTCTATAAACCCTAAACACATATTAACTTGTAAAAACTCTCTTAAAGGCATTAATTAATTCCTTAGTCTACTCTAATTGCAACAACCCATACCTTATATAAACCGTAAACACATTCCAGATTCCTTCACTCTAATTCTCTCTCTGACTCAGTCCTTTCCTTCATAAATTCCACACACATGCACAAAATACACACAATGAAGCCATAAATTCATCCATGGCGGGCCTTCAAACCAATGAGTTTGACACTCTTTGTTCTTCATACCAAGCACTCGGCGGCCACAAAACCAGTCACCGTGATCAGTCTCAATTCGCCACCATTACTGCAGTCACCAACACCTATTTGATATTGATTAAAATTCATATATTATTTTAAACCAAAATTAACAATCAATTTTAATTACATATTTCATGTGTCTTCGCAACTCTTCGATCTCACATTTCATCAAATTTATTTTATTTTTTAATCAAAATCTGCTTAAAATTTGATTTTAATCTCCACCAAAATTGACTTTGACTAATTATATAATTTTGATATATTTCTTTTGATCCATTTTTGTTGATTTCTCATCAACTAATTATCCTATTCTTTCCCAGGTGTCTTATTGACAACCTTCCAAATCTTCAGCCCCTTCTACACACTACAAACAAGATTTTGGTTACAATCCATCGGTAGAAGAAGGCTGCAAACCTTTGATTTTACTACTGAATTCTGCGGGCACATCCCCATGCATATGATGTTGCTTGTGAATATTATATTTTCTGTAAGTCACTCCACTATAATTTTCATAATTTTATCATGGCAATTAATATTTAAAAAATACCTTTTAGAAATGTGATGACGCCTTTTAATTGATTTGGGCCTATAAGCAAAATCCTTAAGCCCATATTATTTAGTCCAAAAATCAAGTTTACTACTCAACAATGACACATTTAAATTAATTTTTCTTTAGCATAAACATCATCAAATTGAAGCTTAAATCTCGACCAGATGGGGAGGTTTGGATATACAGATCCTATTTTAATGGTCAAACCAAAGTAAGAGCAGAGGAAGACATGAGCCTAACCTCTGGAATTATATCAAGAGATCAAAAGAACAAATGAATTGAAAATTTTTAAATATGGAAGAACTTTTTCCATTACAAAAAATAAACGGACACATTATAACAAACAATTTACATCACCTAAAAGACACTAACATAAGATAAGTCACGAGATTCAAGTACAATGATGTGTTTAATAGCTGTAGAAAAATTTTGTTTCTTACTCATATCCTTCACTGGCTTTCCTTTAACCTGTAGGCATCCCGATTCAACTTATATCGGCAAAATAAATTTTGTGATATCACATAGCATCCAGTTATTTTTTATTTGGGTTATATCCATGCTATATTTAAAATACATTGAAAGTCATTCACCTTTATTCGTTATCATATTTATATCCTTAACTTTTTTTTCGTTACATTCCTATTTTTATCATTTTATTAATAAGAAAATATTGTCCTTAATCATGGTGTCTATTAATAAATATTATTAATTTGTTTTAAAATGAGGGTCAAATATTTAATCGCATTTTTACATTATTACTAATATTTTTTCTTATTTTAAAATGACAAATGAGTCTTTTACTGTATGTTAAAGAAATTTTTAGAGAGACTGCATAATTAGAAATAATTTAAGTTAGTTTGAAATTAAGAATGCAATGAAAAAAGTTTGAAACATAAATGTGATAATATGTAAAGATTATGAATCTTTCATGCAATTAAAATGTAATTTAGTTATTAAAAAGTTTGGGGCCATTTAATTTACAAAATGCGAAGAACACCAGAGTTCCATTGAAAATTTAGTTAGGATTGTAATGAAGAGAAAAAGATATCAATTAAGGAAATTTGATCAAATAATGCCGCGTACGTAACGGTATTCCTGAATTACGATTTGAATTTCTTACCATATTCAATCAATCCCAGTCCTAAGTACACTCCAACCCCTGAAAACCCTATAAATATATTTAACCACTCTCTTACTTCTCACTCCATATTTCTCAAAGTCTGAGATCAATCCTTCCTTCCTTTCTTCCACAAATCCATTTTTCTTTTTTTTCACACAGTGAATATGGTTACTGAAGGATTAAAATCATTCAACAAAAGAAAGCGATCGCATTTTTATCGTAAACCAACAGATGTTGAGTACACGGCCCTCGCCCTCCTTAAGCTTTCACGCTGCGACGATGCTTACTGGACCCGTCCAGCCAACACGGTGGAATGGAGGAAGCCGGCCCCAACGACCACCATTGGAATCTATGCTTCAGCCTCCGTCAATGTCATGAATGGTATTGAAAATTATCCTCCGCCGGCCCAGAAACATGAGTCCCACCAAGCACTCGGTGGCCACGAAACAAGCCACCGTGATTGTTCTCAGTTCGCCACCACTACTTGTCCAACCATCAGTCAAGCCGCCGCTGAAATCAGAGAAGACGAAAATCCCGCCGTCGCTAGCACTAGTGAAAGAACAAAGTCCGCTTTAGCCTCCATCGGTGATGACAAGAAATCGACGGACCCCTTTTATTATCCTTCAGTCATAGCCTCTTCGGTGGACCGGAAACATGAGTCGCACGAATGTGACATGTGCGGCAAGTGTTTTCTCTCGTACCAAGCACTCGGCGGCCACAAAACCAGCCACCGCGATAGGGCTCAATTCGCCGCCACAACTACAATCACCAACGCCTCTAATGTCTCTCATCTCAATCCAAGCGGTAGGATTCACGAATGCAACAAATGTTACAAGAATTTTTCCACTGGCCAGGCTCTGGGTGGCCACATGCGGCGGCACTATGCAGGCGTGATCAGCAGCAGCGGCAAGAAAACCACTGTCATCACATCCGACGTCGGCGCCTCCAGCCACTGCAACAGCAACGGGCACTTGGCTCACGACTTTGACTTGAACCTCCCTGCCTTACCAGACGATGAAAGTCCTAATCCTTGAAGAAACAGCGTTTGGATGAATGAACTGTTTTACATAAATTGAATGTTTTCTGGTGTAATGGTGTTGTTCCTTTTTTCATTTTTTTGGTATTTTTTCTAACGAAATATTTTTGTGGTTCTTGTTGGTGGTGGTGCAAAAAATAGTTATAACTCTTCAGATCGATTAGTGTATTCATTTAATCAAAATAAATTTACGATTGATATATACAACACATAATTTTAACTTTTTATGTATTTGTTCATTACGATTTTTATTTGCTTTTATATATGCTTGTGTGAGTATTTTATGTAAATACTCGAAATATTGAGAACTCATATCCAGCGCCAGGATAGAAAGCTCCTATCAAAGGATAAATGTCATCTATGCCCATTCACAAGTATATGTACTTCTGGTTTCAAAAAGTAACATTATAAAACTGTTTTTTTACTTGCTGTCGTTCTTATTGTATTTTATGTTGAAATAACACATAATTCCTGTTGGTTTGTCTAAAAAATCAATTTTTTAGTAGAGTTTTATAAAAATCAATGAAATGTGTAATTGAGAAGGTTGATAAAAGTTGTGGGTTACGTTAATTGTATTGTTGAAAATAAGTTTTATAAAATGGAAACAAAACAAGGATAATAGTTCATTGATAAAATATAGTTTAGTTTGCTATTTCATTATGTAAGGAAGAAATAATTTTCAAGTCGAGTCCACCTAACAAGTCACAGTGATTGTTCTCAGTTCGCCACCGCTACTAGTCCAACCATCAGTCAAGCCGCCGCTGAAATCAGAGAAGACGTAAATCCCGCGATAGGGCTCAATTCGTACCAAGCACTCGGCGGCCACAAAACGAGCCACCGCGATAGGGCTCAATTCGTCGCCACAGCTGCAATCACAAGCGGTAGGATTCACGAATACAACAAATGTTACAAGACTTTTTCCACTGGCCAGGCTTTGGGTGGCCACATGCGGCGGCACTATGAAGGCGTCATCATCAACGGCAAGAAAACCAATGTGATCCCATCCGACGGCGGCGCCTCCAGCCACTGCAACAGCAATGGCGACGTGGTTCACGACTTCGACTTGAACCTCCCCGCCTTACCAGAAGATGAAAGTCCTAATCCTTGAGGAAACAGCGTTTGGATGATTGTTTTCTGGTGTTGTTCCCTTTTTTTTTTTTTTTTTTTTTTGCCTAGAGAAATATTCTTGTTGTTCTTGTTGGTGGTGGTGCAAGAAATAGTTATAACTCTTCAGATCGATTACTGTATTCATTTAATCAAAATAAATTTACGATTGATTATACTTTTTATTTATTTGGTCATTAGGATTTTTATTTGCTTTTATATATGCTTGTGTGAGTATTTATGTAAATACTCGAAATATTGAGAAATTATATCCAGCGCCAGGATAGAAAGCTCCTATCAAAGGATAAATGTCATGCCCGTTCACAAGTCTCCATTTTAACCTAACTAGTATATGTACTTCTGGTTTCAAAAAATAACATTATAAAACTGTTTTTTTACTTGGTGTTGTTCTTATTGTATTTTATGTTGAAATAACACATAATTCCTGTTGGTTTGTCTAAAAATCAATTTTTTTAGTAGAGTTTTATAAAAATCAATGAAATGTGTAATTGAAAAGGTTCATAAAAGTTGTGGGTTTCATTAATTGTATTGTTTAAAATAAGTTTTATAAAATGGAAACGAAACAGGATAATAGCTCTTTGATAAAATATAGTTTAGTTTACTATTTCATTATGTAAGGAAGAAATAATTTTCAGGTCGACTCCACCTAACCCGGAAATACAGTAAAAAAATAGCACACTCAATCTGTCAGTCTCACACACTCGCTCAAAAATCCCTAAAATAGTCTACCAATTCTCGTGGATTTTTCATAACTCTCATTAATTTACTAGTAATAAAACTCTAAACAGAGGATTCAACTGCCACGTCATTACTTTCTTGATAAATCAAGTTAGCCACGTGATAATTATTAGCTAATTGGTCCTCCATTTATATATTATAGTTACACTATGAGTCTATAATGATAGAAACTAATTTCATGTTTGACAATCAAATTTTTCAAACTCATTTTTAATCACATATTGCATCAACTATTATAAAAATCAATTAAACTTTTGATTTTTAATTAAACCAAACTGGGGCTAAATATATAGATGTCCATATTATTCTTACGAATCAACTTGGACGATTCCCACAGATTTAAAGAAAGACATTATGATTGTTAATGATTGGATTTGTTGCCATTGTTGAGGACTCAATATGCAGCTAATTAGAAAGGTTGAAGATCAATTTGCATTTTTTTCAAAAGTTTGATTCTAACTTGCTATTTTAAACAAAGGGTGCTTTAATGCAATTTTTTTTTATATATAATAATTTAAGTTGAAGTTAAGTATACTAGTGTGGTTATGTGTTAACATGTAAGATTGGATATGATATCCAATAGTTTTATCCTCTTTAATAAGTCTAGTTATTGATGAGTTATAAGTTATTAAAAGAAGCTTCCAAAATAAAGACCCCACCCTCCTCATTAGTTACATATACATTAATTTTAATTTTCTATATTAAAAAAAATAAAATTATGTGTATTATCTTTACAAATGAGTCCTTCAGTTTATACTTTTATGGTTCTTAGTATAGTGGTAGAGGCAGACATAGACATTTTGAACTGTAGGGTCAAAAATGAAAAATTTCAAGGTAGTCTGTAGTCGAGTAGCAGTAAGGGTTGAGCCGCTAAGGGACGGCCCGACGGAGGGCCGATGGCAAAAAGAAAACTGGAAAATGGAAAAAATGAGTCACGACTCACGTTTGGCAATTTGGGAAAATGGGATTTGATTTGGGAATGTTGGAACTCATTATATAAGTTCGATTGGATTTGGGTAAATGAGTAAATGGATTATGGGAATGGGATTATGGATATGGATATAGTGATTAGATTTTGGCTTTTCACAAATGCGGGCTACTATTGGGAAATTGGGTTTGGCAATTGGCGAGAGTAGTTGTTAGGTTAAAAATTAAAAATTTAGAAAAAAAATTCCAAAAAATTGTGAGGTCATTTGACCCCACATGACCCCATGTGGGTTCGCCCCTATATAGTGGTCCTTGTAAATGATTAAAAATAAAGCAAGTTAGATAAAAAAGACAAATACATTGTTGTATTCAACTATTACAAGAAAATTATTAAAAAATAAAAATAAAAATTCATCCTCTTCCTTGGCAAGTTATCAATCATAGTCAAAAGTTGTGGAAAAAAAATGAAAAGATGAGGATGAAACCAAAACAACGGAGTCAAATGCTATACTATCTATCGTGAAAACTGTCTTTTGAGGAACCAAAATGTATTTAATTGGTTGAGAGTTCACATCTCATGCAAAATAAGTTAGGGAATAAAATGCTACGAAAGTCAAGTGGGTTTTGAAAAGTTATATGACTATTATGTGCAATTTTTTATTTTATTTTTTGCTATTTTACTACTTTCTTTTATATTTATTTATTTAACAATCATGCTATGTGGCCAAAGTCAATGACAAAAAAGCATTTCTAGACTACACTTAGCAATTTTTCATTGGAGAATCGGAAAAAAAATTAAAAAATCATAAAAACGCTCAATCATGGAGATCAAATATGTCATTTAATGGCCAAAATAGAGGGAGTTACAAGTTTGCTACATAATTGAAAGATTGATTACGGATTATGCTAAAAAATATTGAGGGTAAATTTGTCACATTTCTCAATGGAGTATTGAGTCTCATGAAATGTTTAGACAATAAGTTGATGGCAGTGGTGAACATATGATTAAAATCAATGTTTTGATGAACTTATAAATTTATCCAAACAAGCAGTTATACGATTATATAACTAATTGAAGTTGCAAATTTGGGTTATGATATATAACCTTCTTTTGTTTAGATAAAATCCAAATTTTTGAAAATTTTGATGAAATATGTGTTTAAAAATTATGAATCTCACAAAATAATTTAATTATTGAGTTTGATTTATATTTTAATTAAACCAAATAGAGCTTAACCAATTTTGATAAGGCTGGGCAAAACTCATGAACCAAAATTAATCGGTATCAAATCGAGTGATTTTTCTTAAGTTAAATACCCGATGAAATATTTGAATTGAGAATCGAAAAATTTGATTCTATGGAGAACTCAGTAAAGAGAGACGTAAAAGACACATCAGATTTGACTATATTATTTTGTAAGAGTTAAGATTGAACATGTCATTAGTTGAATTAATGTAACTTTGTAAATATTAAAAGAATTAATTATATTACGAAATTGGGGAACTGAATGGAACAAAACCTGAACGATTCCATAATTAAATTTGAATCCAACGGTTCCACTTACTAAATATTCGAAAATTTCGAGTCCAGTTTGGTTCTATTTAGAACTGAATCGAACCGCACTCGGCCCTAAATTTTGGTATGAAACCTCCGTAGCACTTAAAAATGAAAAAAATCAATATTGGGTAAAATAGCAATGAGTCCTTCAATTTATGCTTATCCCGTTATAGGTCCTCAACTTCCTTAAATTTAGTAAATATGTCCTTATAAACTACTAAACAGTGAATTATTTCAATGAAAATACAACTATATCATTATTTTCCACTATAATAATAATAATAATAATAATAATAATAATAATAATAATAATAATAATAATAATAATAATAATAATAATAATAATAATAATAATAATAATATCCTTCTTCATGGATTTTTAACTAATGTTGCAAATGTAAATTACAAGTCCCAGAGAAATCTCAGCGAAAAATTAAAACCAGTTGAAGAACAGAAAGGATGCTAGATGAGAAAGATGAGTTGGGAGATTGCAAACTGGATTGCCTTGATGGAAATTCAACAAGAGCAACTGATGAAAATTAGAGCAGTGTTTTATTTCTCTGTAAAAATGACAGACTTTACAACCTACTTTTTACAATGACTAGCGTACGTTTAAATACAAAATCTCCGATCTCTATTCTAGGAAATTAGCCAACGTTTTGCATATATAAAAGTAGCAGACTAATTTCATGGTTATACAAAAATAACATTTACAGAAAATTGATTGACTGTTGTAGGCATGATTATTGGCTATCTTGCTAGTTTTGATTCTTGGCTTGATTTGTGGTGGCTGATTTTTGCTCCTTGGCTTG